ATTAAAAAAGGAAAGATGGAGCGGATAAGGACGGCACCTCCAGATAAGTCTAAAACTAGTGCTAAAGTTGTAGATAAGACTATGAACTTATGTCAAATTTACAATTAAAATTGTAAAGTATTATTATGTTTAATTAAGGTCTTAAAGTTATTTTAATTTTTAAATAAGATCATAATTGGATAAAAATTGTTACACGTTAAATCAAATCAGTTGTTAACCCGTTAACTCTAACCAATTAAATAACAAAAATAGTCCAAAAACTTTTAATTTTAACTCCTAATAACCTTAAAACTCTTAAAAATTTCAAAATACTTTTATTATTATTTTTTTGTTTATGATGAAATTTCTATGGTACTCACAATATAAAATTAACGTGATATGTATGTGCCTCAAAAGTTTTTTTTTTTTCTTTTATGAATGGATTTATTATGTAAATATGTGAGACCCATTTAAAAATTTGTTATAGCAAAGAAAAAACTAAAAAAATTGTTAATAGTTAATTAGCTTTTTAATGAAATCATTTAAAATATAATTAGTAAGTTATTTTAGATAATTAAAAGAGAAAAGTGAATACCAAAATGTTTTGACATTTTAAATGATACGAACTATTTATAAAATTATTTAAATACTTTTAATAAAATTTTTTATATGTTTATTTATTAAAGTTATTTTATTCATTTCATTATTACTTCCGACATTTTAATTACTAAAAAATCTTGATTTTCCTCTATCCCTGATTAAAATTAATTTTTACTTTTAGGTCCTACCAATATTCTTTTATAAAAAAAATAATTTCAAGAGCTTTTTAAAAGTTTTATTGAAAGTTAAAATTAAAAATTAAGGGAACTATATTTGTTATTTAACAAGCTAGATTTAACAATATTAACAAACGATTTAATTAACTTAATAATTCCCGTCCAGATGGAACCTTACATGATAACTTCGATAACTTTAAAATTTTAATTGAGTAAAATAAAATTTTAAAACCTTAATTATAAATTTATTATAAATTTAAGACCTTATCCACTACTTCTAGCCAAACTAGGACATTCAGTGGAAAGCCACAGGCAGCACACTGAAAGCAAAACCTCCTATCCTATGGTTGGCCGGCGCCTCCGGTAATCTGTAAAAATTTTGGAATCTACCCGTAACCTCGAAAGCCCCCAATGGTGATTCCATATAAATAGATAGAAGTATCATCCTGGTAATCACTGTTAGCTAGAGAGCTGAAAAAGATTTCATTTGCTTGGTAGCCGGAGAGAGTATAGAAACAGAAATGATTCTGGTGGCCATAGTGGCGGAGCTGATGGAGGAATACACGGCGCTGTTGACCAGAGTGCTGGAGCATTTAGTCCATGACGCTCCGTTTCCGAGGCGGATCCGTTTTCTCATCCTCCGTAGCCTTCCTTTCGCCTCACCCACTCCGCGTCTGCTTCAAGCCCGCGCCTGATCCTTTTTTCCTCTTTCCCTCTTTCTTTTGTGGATTTAGGGTACATATGCGGACTTCAATCTCTGTAGATTCTTCCGAAACTCGTCTTCTTCTTCTGAATCTTTTTGATTAGTCAGTGAATTCTGATGTATGACAACTGAATAAGTAAATTTTGAATTATATAAAGTGCATAATCAATTTTCAGCTGTTTGATTCTGTAGTCTTTACCCTTGGCTATTTAGTTTGAGTTTAATTGAATGAATTATTCTTATTTAGGCTTCCATATCTCTTTTTATCAAAAGTAAAAAAGGAAAAGAAAATTCCTCTTGGATTTAATTTATGAATGTCTGAAATATAATTGATTAAAAGTTTTATACAGGCTTGATAATAATCGAGTTTCAATTGTTGTGAAGTTCGTACCCAAACTCAAATTCGATTCTGATTAATGTAAAATTGGGTTAAACTGAACCCAATTAGGTGCAAATCAGTTGAGCTCAAACTTGAATCGATACGTACACCTTCCAAGCTTTTACCTGGATTGGAAGCTTAACCATGAAGGACGGAGTAAAATCATAAATATCTGTGTGAATATGATTAGATATTTTGCTGTTTTCAAAATATTCGGTGGTGAGTCTGGTGACTGGTGAGGGAGACTGAAAAGGATGCCGTATGGTCCTACGTGAAGGCTGAGGCTTGTCGAATTATGTAGAAACTCCAAACATAGTCACGGTGAATCGTCGTTTTTATTATTAATTGTAACATCAGTCAGTGCTGATCTCTGAAGTCTGAACACGAGTCATGTAATTAGAGACCCAAGTGGCATCCCTTGGTTCTTGAAGGAAAAGGAAAAATCTTTTTTTTTTGGGCTTGAGGGGCCCACGCTAAATGTTTCCATCTTCATTAATGGATTGATA